GGAAAATAAATTTTTGTTTATCATGGCAGAATTTCCAATGGTTATTTCGGCGCCAATTTGAACCGTTCATATAACACGTGATTTTCAAATTAAAGCTTTTTATTTATCATGAATTTGTCCATAAAATGTTGAAATGTTGAATGCAATGATCGAAAGATGTTAGATATGAAATTTGGATTTGTTATTAACAGAATCTTCATGTTACAATGGAAATTCGAAGTTGTTATGAAGAATTCTCTTCATGCTAGTTTGGAAATTTGGATTTGTTATTAAAAGAATCTTTTCATGCTAGGTTTTGCAGTTTCCCAATTAACAAATTCAACCAGTTTCCTAGTTAATTTGGCGCCATTTTCACGTTTTCAAACAAACAAAGGGAAGAATTTTATGAGGTTAACTTGATTTTTTGGCAAGTTTCATAATCCTGATTGAATTTTAATAGGTTTGCGTATTTGAGAATCAATTTGGCGCTTTTTTTCCGTTTTCAAACAAACTATGGAAAGAATCTTATGAGGTTAACTTGATTTTTTCACAAGTTTCATAATTCTGATTGGCCTTTTTATAAACTGGTTGAATTTTTGGTTCAATTAATTCAAAAAAGTTCATTTGATCTCACTTTGATTCTATTTTTCATTCAATTTATTTGTTTTCACAAAAAAGAATTTCATTGTATTGAATTGAATAGTTACATTGTTGAAAAAATTATAAGTATTTGTCAGAATGTTTACACATCTCTAATAATTGCTTGTTGTTTTTGATATGATTGAAAAATTGCATACATGTTAGATCGATGTTACATTTTATATACATCAAATTTTTAATGGTCTCAATTTTCAGTTTATTACGGGAATCTGTCCATTGGGCAGTTATTAAACTGAAAATACGCTCAATATTTGCACTATGGCAAGGAATCGCAAATAAATATTGTATTATCTTCACAAATTCGGAGTTTTGTTCTTCTAATGGAAAATTTGTAAAAAAAAGCTGCCATTTTTGATTGACGGATTTTGAATCCAAATCTTTTTTGAAATTTTCAAAAAAATTTTCTAAACAAGAAAACTGATTTAAACACATTGAGTCGTTGACATCATTTACGCCATTTTCACTCATAAAATTTATCGTTTTTTGTATATTGGCCCAGGAAATTTTGTCTTTTTGATTTAATAATGTCCATTCGAATATTTTAAATTTATCATATTGTTTAGTCCATTTTTTAAGATATATTAAACCTTTTTTCTGTGCTTCTTTACATTCTTTTATAAAATCTCCGGAAATTTTTGAGTCAACAATATTTTTTAAAATATTTTTCACGTTATTTGAAATAAAATCATACTTTATGCGATTTTCTAATCGTAGAATGATGTCTTCAATGATGACCAATGTCTCAACAATTGATGTTGCTGAATATTCCAATTGTTTCGATGCCATATTGAAAATTTGTGAAATATCTTGAATAAAAAACAAATATGCTTTTGAAAGGGGATTTTCAAAATAGCATTTTAACAATTTGATATCGTTTGTTGATTCATTTGATAAGAAGTAGGCTTTCAAGGGTTCGAAAAGTTGAATATTCCTTGAGACCGCCGGTAGCAATGACAACCATCTTGTGCGAGAATATGATAAAATTTGCTTAAATTCAACGTCTGATTCCTTGCAAATTTCTTTCAGCCCTTCTACTCGCACAGTGTGAATAGAAAAATGTTCATATATTTTGAAAAATACGGCTATCATCGGAATTGAAAGACAGTCAACGATTTTTTGAATGGCGTTTCCAAGTATATGTAGGCTGCAACCAACACCTTAGAATAGAAAAAATTCATATATTCAAAAAAAAAATCATTTAAAAAATTAATTAATTGATAAATTCCATTCTATTCTTACACACCTTGCATGTTTTCATTGAAAAATCGCAAACGAGAAAAAACATTATTGTTTCCACGATGTTGGAATGATCCGAAATTAATTGGGCAATTGTCTGCTCCAAATCCAATACATTTCTTTTCAAGATCAAATTTGACCAAAGTTTTTGTTATGTTTTCAAATATTGTTTCGGATTTCTCGTCACATAATGTAACCAAATCCACAATTCGATTAACAAACCCTTTTTCTTTGCAAAAAAACTGTATGATAATAGGAAGAAGTTTGATGGACTTATGATTACTACAATCGGTGATGACAGAAATATATAGCGTATCTTTGACTTCATCCAATGTTTTTTGTAAGCCAAATGGACCGATGACTCCTCTAATTAGCGCTTCAGTCTTTGTTCGTTTTGACGATATTTTTTTGGCTATATGCGAGTCATCAAACAATAATGGTAACAATTCATTAGTACATTCAGAACTCAAAAATGAAAAATTGTGGTAGGCAGTATGATATGCCAGTGTCAATTCTCTGGCTGACACTCTGTTGACATCACTGCAAACAGTCCACGTTGTCAGCTTTGTGTTATTTGAAATGGATCGCAGATTGTCCTTATGTATTTTGCTTTCGCAATGTTTTAATAAAGAAATGCGACCTTTATTTGATATGTTAATGATTATATTGCACACTGTGCACTTCACATTATAATCATCATCACATTGTTTAAACGATTTAAACTCCTTCTTAAGTTGGTCGTTAAACTTGCATTTGCGTTTCCCCATTTCTTCAAAAAAAAAATTACTTATTATCAATATTAAAATGCAATTGACAAAATACCTGTAAATCCAATTATTTTGACATACGAGAAATTGATGGGAAGGAACACTCAGAATGGAAAACATATGATCAGGTTATATTTACTCATTATTCAGCTTGTTTGTACGTTGTTTTTTGTTATTAAGCATTTACCAATTTTATACACGACAGCTTTAGAAAAGTTATTTCATGAAGGCGCATTATAATTGAATAATTTTCACGATTTTTTAAAAAATTGCATGAAAGGAGGACATTTTCATGCTCAAGGAGGACAGGAGGACAAAATTTCTGAAA